ATAATCTCGAATTAATCCCTATTGGGGCCCAATTTGGGCTGTACGTACTATAATACAATTAATAGGGGGAGTCGAACATTGCAAAAATCGTGCTCAATTTTCTCTTCGGATTACGCTCACATTTTTGACAACAACCTGCTCACTTTCAAAGTAAGCCAGGTCAATTATTTACTAAATAATCCTCCCTTCCACGGAGTGGTTCGTGCAACCTTAACTTAAATTTGTTTTAGCCAATCTGAGACAAATATGGTTGCTGTATTTCAGTTTCAAAAATTTCAAGGAAACTTATTTCTCTAAATTACCGTATTCGCTTAGATACGAATTTGAAGTGATCACGTTAAGTACGACAGCGGAGGGCCTCATATTTCCAGAACTGCACGACGCCAGAAGCATCCAGACCTCGGGCGGCGCGATCGGTGAGCCCTGCACAGCTGGACCGCACACGGAAGCGCGAGGAGAGTTCCATCCGCAGCCCTCCAAGAAGACTCGCTTATGAGTGAGGCAGAGGGTGCGCCGCCACATGGTTAGGATGAACGGATCTGCTGCAGATACTGTTTTAGAATTTTCTAACCTTTCTTGTACAAACATTTTAGGGCGGGCCCTGCGAAAGGGAAAGCAGACAGAGCTGAACTACATGTATGCCGCTCTTGGCATGGAAAAAGACGACAGCAGCGATGCCGACTTTCTGCCAGACGACAGCGAAGAGTCTGAAGGCGTCGACCAGTCTTCTGATGACTTGGATGATCCTGCCCCACAGAGTACGATGGAGACGTCATTTTATGTGAAACGTTAATGGTTCTAACAGCGTATATGTTGTGTGTTAGGTCGCAAGGGGAAATCGCAGATAAAGAGGGCCAGAAAGATGCAGCAAAAGCCGTCCAGTACGTTGGATATTGTTGCTTTAACATTATGGTTGCCATTAATTGAGGCACTCACCACATCTTCACCACATCTGTTAATGTTGTTTTTAGCAATCGGGAAGGGGAAAGTGTTTTGCGGCGCAAAACGCCTGCACTCACCGCACGTCTCCACCGAGGAGCGGAGCTTTTCTCCTCACTATTCGCCTCCTCCCTTTAAGAATAAGAAAACTGTGTCAGACGCACCCCTTGCAAACATTCCGAGGGACAAGACGGCAAAAGACTGTAAGAAGGACATTGCTATACCGGAGTCGACGCGCCCGGAGTATGTTCCTCGAAAACGGTCAAGCAAACACATTGACGAGTTGAAGTCCATGCAATTGGACCGTGAGGAGATCATCAACGTTGTTCCGCCGTTTTTCTCTCTCCCTATCCACAGCTGGGAAGAGTTTGACAAGGTGCTTGAAACCTACAAGGACCAAAACAATCTCAAGTTCCGGGTTCGAAGCTCGCAAACTACAGTGTGTTACAACAGGTAGTTTTTGCTTTTGCTTTTTACGTGCTAAAACCTAACTCGTGAATGTGTTGCTTTATTGTGTAGTACAAACGACGATCAGATACCCACCGACTTTCATTGGGCCAGCAGAATCTTTCGCTGTACACACGGGGTTTCACAGAGCTCTCGCTCTAAAGGACACCGCAACCGCAAGATTCGCTATTGCGGGTGCAAGGCTCGGTTTACAGCCGCTGTGATCCGGACATCTACGGAGGGTTTTACTATCAAGATTCGCAACGAGGTTTGCTATCGGATATTATGGGTGTTATTATAGTTACCAACCGCTATCTGCTTTGTCCAGAATCACACCCATTCCCACCCTACCACTGCGTCTGAAGCCTCGTCATATCTGACGACTAAGACCTTACCATTGGACGAGCAGGATCGTGAGGACGTGAGAACCTTGGCGGATGCACGTGTTTCTTCGAAGCACATCTCCAGCTTTTTGAATGAGCGGATTGGTATGTAAGTCAGATTTTATTTTTTATTTTAATTAACACGTCTGCTACTATGTTCTTCGTATGACTGTATATGTAAATAATAGGCTGCCAGATTACTCCACAGCAGACCCGCAACCTCATTCGCAATATCATGGGGAGGGATTCTGCTGCAATCCGATTGAAGGACATGCTGCACGCGCTGCGCCAATTGGATGGCAGTGATGTTCTCGTGATGCAAGACCAAATTGGCGTTACAACCGGGATCGTTTTGCAGACAAAAGTGCAGAAGCTAATGTTCGAGCGATGGGGTGAGACATTAGCGATGGACTTTACCCACGGAACGAATAATCTGGGCTATCATCTGGGTGCGTACAGCTATGGTTGTTGTAACTTTATTCTGATGTATAACAACCTTATCTACTTAAAGTTGCTGTATGATTAACTCAACTTTGTTTTGGTTTTGACCTTTAGGAAGTTTGGTTGTCACCACAGCTACGGGTCGAGGGTTTCCGGTTTTTGATTTCATTTGTCTCAACGAGCAAGCACTGACAATGTCCAGAATTTTGGACTACTTCAAGGAGAAGAACTCGGGCTGGAAGCACATTCAATCGGTGGTGATTGACAAAGATTTTGTTGAGTGGGGCGTATTAAAGGATGCCTTTCCGAGAGCCAAGGTTCTGTTATGTCAGTTCCATGCGATTAGTTACTGGAAGAAGGTAATGAAGCGTCCGTTGTATCGCCTAAGAGTTTCGCAATGTGAGGAACTGCTGGTCCAAATGATCAAACTACTTTACAGGTGAGTAAGGTTGCTTTTCACCGTGTATGTGGAGGCTAATTTGTGATTGCCTTTGATTTATGTTAGTACCTCTAGTACCAGATACAACTTCTACTACGATGCACTGCGGCAGTATTGTAAGGACCAGAAGCGCGAAGCCTCTTTTGCGTACTTCGATAAAAACTGGAGCTCGTGCCGTGACATGTGGGCTAATTTTGCTAGAGGGAAGGCTTTTACTGCTGGCAATACCACAACGAATAGGATCGAGTCAAACTGGAATCAAGTCAAGATGCTGCTTGGTCACAAAACGAGAATTGACAAGACTATTGCTGGGTTGCTTCAGCATCAAATGACAATTACGCAGAAAATTGTTTTCACTATTGGACATCAGCACTCAACTTCACGTGCTCCAAGACGGTGCCAAAGTTTTTGCGAGCTGTGGCTAATAGACTGTCTGCGGATATATTTTCGACGGTCAAGAAGGAGTGGGAGCGCTTCGTCAACCTTATGGCAGGCGCTTTGTGCAAACGAGTTGTTGGAAGTGTTTCGTTTTGGAAGGTCAACTGTGGGAATGAAACATTTGTGTGCAACGATGGAGAATGGACATGTACCTGCTTATTATTCAAGAGTGATCATCTACCTTGCCGACACATGATGTATTTGGCAGAATCTGGACTTCGGCTCAATATGTTACCTGTTACTTCGATTGACAAACGATGGAGTTTGTCGGTGGCCTTAGAAGCAAAAGAAGACCTTGCTGCGGCGGCCGACTTACTGAAACCTATTGTGCACATGTCCAAGTTAAGGTCGCCGAAAGTAAAGTTGCCGGAGGATGACAAGGTTGCGGAACAAAGTGATGATCCCGGATCCTGTATGACAGCTTCTAAGATACCCAAAGAGATTGCCCAACCTTTCAACTTCATTACCTTCTGGTGTGTTACAATGGGGTGGGTCTCTTAACGATCACGATACGCTCACAGGCAGCACTTGGCCTCAGTAGTGGCGACATTATTGGCACGTCGGGCTCCCAGTCGCATGCCACGGACTGCGGTGGTGGCGAGCATGACGAACACGATGATGAAAGCGAGCTTGCTCATGCTTGGGAGTGACGGTTGAAAGGTACTTGCGGCTCAGACACCGAGTTGTGAAGTGTGAGATCGGTGAGTGGATTCCTCCAGCCCCAGTCATCGAGGGAAATGCGGCCCTGGGCACTGGCTGCTTGAATGGCGTGCGGGATTCGAATACAGAGCTTCAACGTGGTGTTCTCGCCATACGCGTTCACGCGAAGAGCGATGGCCTTTATCACCTTGCCTGTGATAGCCTCCACCTTGCCGTCAATGGCCTTAAAGACCTTCATAATGCGAGCGTCCGTCTCCTGGATTTGGCAGCTGACGAGCTGCTTGCGCTCTAGCTGACAGGGCTCCATAGCGGCCCACTTAGACTCCCCAGCGATAACATTGCGAGCGGCATCGCGTGAAAGAGATTTTTCCAGCTTGAACGCACGTGTTGCCCACGCTGCGAGCTGAGTGTTGGACAGCTTGCCTTTGGCGCGCCCTTCGCATACTTGCACATGGCGAGCTTCTGCTCCATATTAAGGCGGATCCGGTGCGGCATGGGGCTGGCGGTCATGGTCGCTTGAAAGAGTGATAGTGTGCATGGAGGGAGGCGTACGTAGCGGGAACATGAGTTACCTCGTACATTTAATCTCCATTCTCAGTCTTTCAATGGTTTACTTAGCGAAGAGGCCGGACCGGTCTGGATTTGATCTTTCCCGCCGATCCTGCAGTTCATCCAAAATCAGTGCATTTTTGTGATTGGCCAGTTGAACCTGTATGTACCATAGCAGATATGGCGGGGTATTACGTAAATAGGTGACGCTTACTTTGAGGGACTTCTGTATTGGCCTTTTCGGTAATTCGGTAACCTGCGTCCCCATATTACCTAGCGTCAGCAATTCGCTCGCACATCGTTGCAGTAGCCACAAACGTCCTCATTCAGTGTCCTCTTGAAACAGATGACGGCACTCTGACCAAACGTCAATGTAATGAGTCACGGCTCCCCCATCGCTGGCGTCACGTCTCCTTTACCAAGCCGTGTTGTCATTGCAGAAGGGGGGGGATCGGACTCACTACAGCCTTAGCGTTGCTGCAGAGCGGCTTTAAGCATGTCAGGGTCGTTGCGGACAAGTTCGATGCCACCACGATGCCACCACGTCCCACGTCACTGGAGGGCTCTGGGTGTCCTTTGCGCTACCCGACGGAATAGATACCAGCCGACCTCGCAAGTGGTGCGAGGTGACGTACGCGTGGCTGGACACGCTTCGCAAGGAGAAGGGGGAGAGGCTGGGCATTCATATTGTCCCGGGCGTCGACATGTCCGCCCGTTGGAGCGCCGCAAACGATGAGTGCGACGCATGTTGATTTTCTAACGGCATAGACAAATCTAAGCTATGGTGATACGCGAATAGTTCCTCCATATTGTGCCGAGAACTTCCGTCTACTAAGCCAACAAGACGCTACTAAAATTACGTCTGGAGCGATGCACGGCTTCGCGCTTGACGCACTCATCTAAACCCAAAGTACGTTGGCTGCTTGGTACGAAGATACTGACATCGTTAACGCTCTTGTCTTGGATAGACCTTTCATGCTGTGGCTTCACGAGGAAGTCGCTAAGCAGGGTGGTACTTTCGAGCAGCGTCGTGTCATTTCTCTTGACGAGGAACAGTGCGACCTACTGGTGAATTGTTCCGGTGCGAAGTCAACAATCAATCCGACAACTGTAAGGTGGGCTGATGCACTGGCTGTTGTTGCAGGACTGGCGGCGAAGGAACTGGCTGGATACGACACGGTATTTCCGTTCCGCTGCCAGATCATCAACGTGTTTCATTCAAAGCCGAACGAGCCCAAGGTGTCGGTCGACAAAGATGGACAGCACGCGTACATCATCCCTCGTCCGGATGGCGACGTTGTGTTGGGAGAGACAGTGCAGGAGCATAACTGGAGTACAAAGAACAAGGACGATGATGTTGACGGGGTGTGGGAGCGGTGCTGTCGTCTATGGCCTGAAGTTCGTAACAGCAAAGTGATTGACAAGATGGCGGGCCTTCGACCAGGTCGCACTGGAGGTGTGCGTCTTGAAATGCAGGCCACTGCGACTAAACAGAAGGCGGTAGTGGTCCACAACTACGGCCACGAGGGATCAGGCCACACCCTGCACTGGAGCTGTGCTCAGGACGTGGCTAAGCTGGCCAAACAGCGCTTCAAGCTGAAGGCAGAGAATGTACTGAGATAAAGATATTCTCAGACTTTATGTTCTTATACGAAGAGTTTATTCGAACTTCTTCAGATCAGCGTGACTCCACTCCTTAATACCTTCCGCACCGCTCTCATAGTCGGATACCATACCTTTGGCCACAGCCTTCACCGTGATCTGGTATGACTACAACAACACAAGTGTAAAGCTCATGCCCAGATCCTCACAGCCAACAACGAGTACGTACCCCCGGAATCATCCAGCCGAACATTTTCTCAGTTCCTCGCAGTAATTCTCCACGCTGCAGCATTCCCGGTCGGAAGATGGACGTACGCTGGAACTTCATTTGCTGCACTTTGTCCTCCACTTCGCCCTTTGTCTGGGGATACAGGAACCAGCTGTCCTTGTTGGCGCCCTGAGACGTCAAAAGACCCAAATACGGCACGTCTGCGGCTTTGGACAGCTCGGCGAACTGGGTCACGTACTCCAGATCCACTACAGCAACATATGCATTCGTTAGCGCAACTTTAGCTCAAGAATCGGCCCTGGACGATGTCATTATACCTTTGCGGAAGGCCTCAGCAGAGCCAGCGTCTTTGCGGGTCGTGCCCAGACATGAAAAGGCAGCGTTCACCTTGTCTGAAGGCTTGATATCAGCCTCCGAGAGACTGTTGAAGTCCACCTGCCGAACTTCCAGCTTGCTCTTGGCCGCTTCCGCGTCCAACGACGGGAACGTCGAGCTCCAGGCTGACTCGGGGACGTCGCGACGCGCTAGAGCGATGACCTTCGAGCACTTGGCAGAAGCCACGAGCTCAGAAACAAGGTCGCGGCCGACGGCGCCAGTCGAGCCAATCACGAGCGCAGCGGAGAAGATCAGTAAATGAAGGATAAAGTTTTGCACAAAAAGCGTTTCTGCGACATGTGGCAGTGGCTCGCAATCATTCTAATAACATCTATCCATCAAAAATCTGCTCCCGCAAATAAACATTTTAGCTTAACCCTTTAAGACCTGAGGTACCCTGCCAGGGCCTCCAAAAATGTAGCCAATAAGATTAGCGTATTTCGCAATTTCTACCAATGACTTATGGTCATTTACTATAGTGGTATCTTTCTGGTCGAGATAGAGTCCCAAACTGGGACTCTTAGAAAATAAAGAGACAGGGCACGACAGAAGGGACTGGCAAACGTTCTATAAATGTATATATAGCCAATCGTATGCTTACGTAAGAAGAAGTTTTATAAAAGTCCAGACATGTACAGTACTGCACCCCGTTTTCGCGCCCGCGGACCTCTAATAAACTGTGAGACCTAATTCTCCCAAGTTCAACGATGATGTCAATTGTATGCGCAAAAGGGGTGCTCATCTCCATTTTTTAAAGGTTTTCCCCTCCCCGAGGAGGGATGACCTGTCCAAAAAATTTGAGCGCGAAATGAAACGATACAAAGACACCCATTAAACAATTTGCAAAGTCTCGCAATGTCCTGTCGCCCCTCCTCCTACTCTACACTGACTTTGGCTCAGAAACACAAGCTGTGTCTTAAGGCTCGGGCAGAGCCATCGTAGACACAAACGCAACTTGCCACATGGGCGACTACCGAGTTCCAGACTGCTTCCAAAGTTGGCGTTTCGACAATTCGTGGCATTATTAAGAATAAGCGCAAATTCGACGACATCCCGGAAGCACAGGCAAGCAGAAAAAGACATTGCCCTGTCAAGCTAGGCGCCACCGACAAACAACTCATGGACCTTGTCAAAGACTACAAACACTGGCATCGCAAGGGTACCATCAATGGATCGCAAGTGCGCCGCCTCGCACAAGAAATCGAGACAATCCTCAGCAAGCCGAGTCGGGGCTGGCTGTACAAGTTTCAGCTGCGCAACGGGCTCTGGTTCAGCGTTCGGCACGGAGAGGCAGGGTCACTTGATGAGACTGAGGTGGTAAAAGGGAGAAAGGAGCTAAAAGCCATTGTTTCTAAGTATCACCCACGTGATGTTTATAACATGGATGAAACTGCTTTTTTCTATCGTCGAGAGCCTAAAGGAACACTCACAACTGATAAAAAGGAGAAGGGCACGAAGCAGTCGAAGGAGAGAGTGACGGTGTGTGTGGCTACGAATGCATACGGTACAGACCGTCTTCCTTTACACTTTATTGGCACTGCAATGGTTCCTCGACCTCTGAAGGACGGCAATGTTTTCGAAGAGCTAGGTGTAACTTACACTAATGCGGGCAAGGGCTGGATGAATACTGAGAAGTACTGTGACTGGTTACTACGACTTAACGCGAGTATGAAGTTACAACATCGGCATATCCTCCTTCTAGTCGATAATGTATCCTCTCATAGCGAAGTGCTGGTCCAGGGAGAGCTGTCACATGTGCGAGTTCACAAACTTCCCCCAAACACTACCGCTGCGTTGCAGCCGATGGACCAAGGTATTATAAAATGCCTAAAGGACGAATACCAGAATCAGAAGGAGGGGTCGGAGATGGAAATGTTCCTTCGTGGAAATGAATATAAGCCCGTGGACCTCTACACGGCGATGAAATGGTGTGCACAAGGATTTCGAAGTATTTCCGAGGCTACAATTCGAAACTGTTGGTGCCGTACGCGCTTCATTTCCAAAATGGACATCAACTATTTACTGAATTAGTAAAGCTAAAAACAATACATAGACTGTGTCTCTGCAAACTTTATGTGATCGGATCTCTGATATGGTCCACCCCCGCGAAAACGGGGTGCAGTACTGTATGAGACTGCGTCAAACAAAATGAAACTTACGAACCTAAGTACGAATCGCAATCTAATTTGATCTATCTTTAAAGCGATTAAAAACAGACAACAACAGTGAAATCCGGGTCCAAGCATGGTTTTCCCACCAATCCGTATCCCATATTTGGGTATTTTGCCTCTCCACCGCCGCCAGCTCATCTTCAGATGCTGCGTCCAGCAACAACTCAGACTCGACGACGACACACTTCGGTTTTCAGCAGGTGCCCGAAGAAGACAAAGAACGCATTGTGGCGTCTGTGTTCCATAATGTGGCTGAGCAGTACGAACTCCATACTTGATACCTTCCGTTTGACCCTTTAAGTTGATAAAGTGCTGCTATATGTTGCCAGATACGACGTCATGAACGACTTTATAAGCGGCGGCATGCATCGCATCTGGAAGGACTCGTTTGTGGACACTCTTCACCCTGTGGGTCCATTAAAGTGCCTGGATGTGGCAGGAGGTACTGGTGTCATCGCCTTCCGTATCGCTGAGCAATTATCTAAGTCTTCTCGAGGCACTGAAGCTCCGACATCACCGTGTGTGACATTTGGACTTTGAGGACAATTCCTTTGACGTCTACACCATCGTGTTTGGTATTCGTAGCGTAACTCATGTGGACCGCGCTATCAAGAAAGCTTACCGTGTACTCAAGCCTGGAGGCCGCTTCATGTGCATGGAGTTCAGTCAAGTGCCCCCAACCCATTGATCCGCCAATTTTACGACGCTGTGAGTTTTTATAAAATGTGAAGATCTGGGATGGAGATGCTAAATCTTATTTTTTAATTGTAGTACTCGTTCAACGTGATCCCTCTGTTGGGCGAGAAGGTATTGCTGTCGCGCGTTATACTTTTATTATATATGAAGGTTACTGTTCTGACACCGGGCGGATCTCACCGTCGTTGTCTGTACTACTCATTGGGACGCAATAGAAAGCTACGATTCGGCGCACAGGCGACAGCATTAAATGAAGATCCGACGCAATGGCTGACCGTTCCGACGAGTAGGTGGGAGATTGTTCTCTACTGATCGCTGCGCTTTGGTGTCCGTGAGGTTATACGTCGTGGCGATATATCGCTCGACATTGTTGACAACTGGGAGTGCAACCTGAGCAGCGTCTTGCAGGAAATCATCATGCTGTAGGGCGCCTATCATCAGCGTAATGGCGCCAAACTGTTCAAAACTATTCGGCGCCAGCAGCACACGCCCACACCGACCTCCAGCCACTTGATGTAGCTCATGAACGATATCGTCTGTGAATGAATTGGCCGTCATGTGTGGGGGTCGTGTCCGCACCCAACCCGCCGCACGGGCTGGGTTTAGAGCATTCGCTGCCGCCACAAATGCGTTCAGGTTGTCCAAGTCCCAGCTCAGCACGAAACCGGGATCGTCGTCGTCGATTTCGATCGACGAAAGATATTCATTTAGCTACGTTACAGCAAGCATCGTCAGTATTTCGAGTCTCGCAATTGAGTAGTAAGTCAATCACCACTGGGGTTGCTGCGTGGAGCGAAAAGACGTTGCGCAGCCTCTCGTCGAACGAGTCAGCCGAGAGGAGTGGAGTAGACTTCATCCGCGTAGTCCTGCGCTTCCACCAGTCTGCAAAGCGACGTCTTGTGCCTCGCTTGCTCATTTCTGTCGATCTCTGTCCTGTCACTTTCTCAGATTGAAGGACGGTTTTTCCGCCCCAGGAAATTCTCACGAGATGTGTACCACATCATAAAGATCATCCTGGTACATGTAGTGCTACGAGTACATGTACTCCCCCTAATAGGGGTTAAGAAATGATCCAAAAAAATAAGCAGAGACGTGTCCAATTTGTAAGCAGAGGAGTGCACAATTACTGAGCAGAAACAGTAAAAGGGGAGAGGCTCAATTTCGCACTTAAGAAGAGACAATTTGCATTTTCTAAAGCGAAGACTCGCACGGACACTGCTGTGGCGCCACCACAGGCTACAGGGGCGCGTGCCCTGGTGCACTGTCGCCGTGCTATGGGTGCAGCCTTCTGTGCGGCATCTATCTCCAACATGTGGGCTGCACGACGCGCCTTGGGGCACCCGACTTCTGGCCGGAGACGGGTGCAGAGCGATGCGGCCATACACGGGCCTTCCTCCATTTCCATGCCGGTCTGGTCGGTGGAAGGGAGAATGGCGTTACCGCAACCATAAATACAACACCACGACACGAATTTTGGCAACTTTAGAGCGAAACGCAACCACAACGGGGCATGCACTCGGTATTATATTTTAATTTACCCAAGACCACGTGGCCTTCGTCGATAGGTTTGTCTAAATTTAGAGGTTCTAGACTGATGTGAGCCACATGTACATTATGTGGGACACAAGTATTCGCACACTTTGGGACTTCTCGATTTGCTGGAAGATCTCGATCATCGCTATGGATCAGAAGGCTTTGCCACTTGAGTTGGTTCGTGCAAGGCTTAATGAGCTGGAGAAGATGAGGACGGTGCTCGTTAACATACAACGCAGTATGGAGGAAATCATGGCAGCTCAGATGGAGTTTCAGGGTCGTATTGATGAGGAGGAAGCTTGCCTTTACCAGCTGAAGGCGGATTTCTTCGAGGAGGGGGCAGCTCAAGATGACGATCTTTCGTTTAAGGTTTATTGGAGATGGCTATTCACAAGCTGAATGCATAATGCAGTGAACACGGTCTGTATTAAAGACTTAATTCAGGCTAAAACACTTACTCGAGTTCTTTTTGTAGCTTCTGTAGAGTCTTGCTTGTTGTGGTAGCGTCGGATTCGGAGATAGGTTGTTCCTTGGACAGATGCATAATGGCCCAAAGAATTCGTAGGCGCATCACTTTGATGTCGTGCTTGGTGACGTCGTAGCTTTGCTGTGTGGTGTTTCCAGTAAGGTAATTGTAGCATTGAGCTATAGCTAATACGCCGCAACTAGATCCATCTGGTTGTTGCGGTGAAAATACCCACTCAACGTCCTGGATCTCGAATTCCACATCCGCCATCGAGGACGCGTGCCACCGCTCGAGGAACCCGCGTAGGCCCTCTTTTGCTTTGCTTTTTGGGTGATTCACTTGTTCAGTAACACCCTCCCAGATCTTCATCATGTCCTTGTGATAAGAAGCATTAATCAAAGGCTCGTACATGTGTACAAATAGTCGTACACTAGTTGCCGTCGTGTGAAAACGCGTGATAATGACTCCCCAATGATTGCCGTCCAGGTGTACTGCGTGGAGGACAAAGTTAAGCTCTCCGATAGATACTTTTGGTGTAGAAGGCCACCCGATATCCCACATCAGTGACGAGATCACGTAGCAGCCACCAACAACCCCTCCAATTGTTCGTAAACAGAAGTCTATGTGACTGTCATTAAGCCAGCCCCGACATAGACCACCGAGAATGTTTTCGAAAGTGATCGATCCATTTCCGTGCAGCGTCATAAATTCCGTTAGTAAGCGACTTGATGCAAACTTTCCAATCATTTCGCTGGCCAAGTCTTGATGTCGATTGCAGATAGCTACTTCTTGTAAGCCTTGAGTCTTTGTCTCTTCTGCTAAGAGGCTCACATTTGATGGGATGATTCGCCAGTTTTGCTCTAGCCATTTCCGGTCTTTAATCCACGTTCGTCCCTTTAATTTGACATCGTGGAATCCAGTCAAAGCTCCTACAAACTTGCTGCGAGATGTTGTAGATGTAGAGCAACCATTCTGTTAGTGCAACCCGGTTGTAGCAACCATAATATGGCAACCTTATTGGTAAAACAACCTTACCTGCTAAACTTCCAGAGTTTCGGATCAATAGTGCCGACAATATCAAGGACGATCCCTTGATTATTCACGCTATCTTCGAGTGGACCCGGCGAGTCCTGTTCTTTCCATGCTGTCGTGATGGCGGCTCGGAGTGATCGACTGATATCAATTGGAACTGCAAATGCGTGCATGTAGTCCGTGTGCCGCATTGCTTCCCACCGACACTCGATGCTACGGGCTCTCAAATAGTGATCTTCAAGCTGAACTGGATACTTGGCAAGTGTATCCATGGCGAATTTCAAGTTTTCCGTGTTCCTTGCCCAACAAACAAAGCGATCAAGAGTCACAGTAAGCCCAGCTGGGTATTTGTGAATAGCTAGACGGGGTTGACCGGATGTCAACGTTGTTTGGCGGAGCTGCTTCGTCGTCACCCTGGAATTACCGCGACGTTTCGGCCGAGGAAGGCTTATGATATCAACAGCACGGCTTGCAATTGTTGGTACTTCCGGATCTGGCGGCGACATATTAGTATCATTGACGCGTTCTGGGTTTGCACTGTCCCCTTCAGACTCAGATGCTTCAGACTCAGATGCACCTCCACTATCCGTGCAGGCTTCTGTAGAGGGCGAAGCGGATTCTAGCTCGTCCATAAGTTTCGCTGTTTCCATTGCCTCAAGTGGGTCAAGCGAGGAGAAATCGTCTTGATCGTCATCGTCTTCGTTGCTACTACCGTCATCGCGATTACCATTGACTTCGGGGTTGAGACCAATCTCCACCGTGTCCTTCCCGGCAGAGAGTTCTTGATAGAAATCAGCGCTTGATAGACACGATAAATGTTCCAGCAGAGGCTCTAACACTGCTTTTGCGTATGAATACTTTTTCGATGACGACAAAACCACCTGGTTGGCACGCTCCTTCCTGTGAAGGCGAACGTGGGCAATCTCTTTGGGTATCTTAGAAGCTGTCATACAGGATCCGTGATCATCACTTTGTTCCGCAACCTTGTCATCCTCCGGCAACTTTACTTTCGGCGACCTTAACTTGGACATTTGCACAATAGGTTTCAGTAAGTCGACCGCCGCAGCAAGGTCTTCTTTTGCTTCTAAGGCCACCGACAAACTCCATCGTTTGTCAATCGAAGTAACAGGTAACATATTGAGCCGAAGTCCAGATTCTGCCAAATGCATCATGTGTCGGCAAGGTAGATGATGACTCTTGAAGAATAAGCAGGTACATGTCCATTCTCCATCGTTGCACACAAATGTTTCATTCCCACAGTTGACCTTCCAAAACGAAACACTTCCAGCAACACGTTTGCACAAAGCGCCTGCCATAAGGTTGACGAAGCGCTCCCACTCCTTCTTGACCGTCGAAAATATATCCGCAGACAGTCTATTAGCCACAGCTCGCAAAAACTTTGGCACCGTCTTGGAGCACGTGAAGTTGAGTGCTGATGTCCAATAGTGAAAACAATTTTCTGCGTAATTGTCATTTGATGCTGAAGCAACCCAGCAATAGTCTTGTCAATTCTCGTTTTGTGACCAAGCAGCATCTTGACTTGATTCCAGTTTGACTCGATCCTATTCGTTGTGGTATTGCCAGCAGTAAAAGCCTTCCCTCTAGCAAAATTAGCCCACATGTCACGGCACGAGCTCCAGTTTTTATCGAAGTACGCAAAAAAGGCTTCGCGCTTCTGGTCCTTACAATACTGCCGCAGTGCATCGTAGTAGAAGTTGTATCTGGTACTAGAGGTACTAACATAAATCAAAGGCAATCACAAATTAGCCTCCACATACACGGTGAAAAGCAACCTTACTCACCTGTAAAGTAGTTTGATCATTTGGACCAGCAGTTCCTCACATTGCGAAACTCTTAGGCGATACAACGGACGCTTCATTACCTTCTTCCAGTAACTAATCGCATGGAACTGACATAACAGAACCTTGGCTCTCGGAAAGGCATCCTTTAATACGCCCCACTCAACAAAATCTTACTGTGTCACCACCGATTGAATGTGCTTCCAGCCCGAGTTCTTCTCCTTGAAGTAGTCCAAAATTCTGGACATTGTCAGTGCTTGCTCGTTGAGACAAATGAAATCAAAAACCGGAAACCCTCGACCCGTAGCTGTGGTGACAACCAAACTTCCTAAAGGTCAAAACCAAAACAAAGTTGAGTTAATCATACAGCAACTTTAAGTAGATAAGGTTGTTATACATCAGAATAAAGTTACAACAACCATAGCTGTACGCACCCAGATGATAGCCCAGATTATTCGTTCCGTGGGTAAAGTCCATCGCTAACGTCTCACCCCATCGCTCGAACATTAGCTTCTGCACTTTTGTCTGCAAAACGATCCCGGTTGTAACGCCAATTTGGTCTTGCATCACGTGACCATCACTGCCATCCAATTGGCGCAGCGCGTGCAGCATGTCCTTCAAACGGATTTCAGCAGAATCCCTCCCCATGATATTGCGAATGAGGTTGCGGGTCTGCTGTGGAGTAATCTGGCAGCCTATTATTTACATATACAGTCATACGAAGAACATAGTAGCAGACGTGTTAATTAAAATAAAAAATAAAATCTGACTTACATACCAATCCGCTCATTCAAAAAGCTGGAGATGTGCCTCGAAGAAACACGTGCATCCGCCAAGGTTTTCACGTCCTCACGATCCTGCTCGTCCAATGGTAAGGTCTTAGTCGTCAGATATGACGAGGCTTCAGACGCAGTGGTAGGGTGGGAATGGGTGTGATTCTGGACAAAGCAGATAGCGGCTGGTAACTATAATAACACCCATAATATCCGATAGCAAACCTCGTTGCGAATCTTGATAGTAAAACCCTCCGTAGATGTCCGGATCACAACGGCTGTAAACCGAGCCTTGCACCCGCAATAGCGAATCTTGCGGTTGCGGTGTCCT